TATTGACATTGAATCTGTTCTCATCATCATTAATATGATCATCTTGATCAACTTAAGATGAAGGTTAAGACAAGTTGCTTTCTGTCTCTTTGTTCACTCTATTTGACTTACGGATTTCAAGTTTGCTCAACACAATATAAACTTTACTTTTACCCTTTTTGCTTCAATTTATACATTGAATAAAATTTATCCACAAACATTACGAGTTGAGTAAACAAAATTTACTAATTGAGTCATTCACAATCAATCTAAACCTTTCCAACTTTTAACTAATTTAACTTTACTATTTTCTCAATGAAAATTCAGTTCAAACATTGATAAATTATTTCCCAGTAAACATGTCATCAGAGAAAGTAAATATTCATAAAAAGATCCTTTTCGCCTTAATCAAAGACTCGGCATTTCTTCGCTAACAGACAACCCTGAAAATGTCATGCTTAGACATTGGCATGTCTCTAAGGTCAACACTAAAGAGTAACAATGACAGAAGGTGAAAAGATGCTAGCGCAATCAACTTATCGCTGAAACGTAAAGGGTCTACTCTAACTTTGTCTCTTTCTCATTTCACAGTTTGTAATTAACAATTGTTCCCTTAGCTTTTCCCTCACATGTTTCTAACTCTTACCATTGGAAAGATAACCGAATTTTTTTTCAAAACCAATTGATTACCTGAACGGTATGGAAACACTCCTTTGGCCCACATGAGTTATGAACATCTAACAAACACTGACCTATCTGAGAAATTTGTACTCAGAAAATGCCTTTCAAATGTCAATTAGAGGTCAAATAACGGATCGACCTTGAATGAACTTTAGCGTTCGAACTCTATGATTCTGCAATTTGTGGAAGCTCATGGTCCAAGTCTGAGGTCTGTAACATTAACCTTTTGTGAGTTATGCCTACACAAACGCGTAAAATAAGAAAAACGCCCGGTATTAAAACCGAATGAAAATGAAAACTGAATTTGGTTCAAGTGAAGAAAAGTGCGAAAAGCACTAAATTGACCGTCCAACTTAGACATTGATTTGATTAGCATTGAAATTGAAATTCAATTTTTGCATTCCTTTCACACTCTGAAACTCTATTTTTAGACCTGGCACTGATCCTTTGATTGAACAAATGACTTGAGGACATTAAAGTTTAATCAATTATAACTTGTTGAAACGATTACCAACATTTGTTTACAACTTGTACTAACAAGAAGAAGAAGGAAGTTTGATGAGAAAATTTATTTCAAGTTTAATGGTATTAACCATGTTTATATGATGTACAAGCTAAACATTATCAAGTTTCATGCCTTTTTTTAACCATCCATTCAATTTCCGCCTCTATTGATTCCCTGAAACGTTGAAATGATCGGAAACAGAGAAACACTTGAGATGTACAGATAGAGTTGCCTGCTACTATTAATACTTAAATGTTATTGGAAACATTAAAAAAAGCCATTTTCTCCATCATTTCAAGACAATTTATTCAAAGCTAACGTTTACAGCTTTCATCAATCAAATTAGTTGAATGCTATGAATATAAAACCCCAATCAAAGTAAATTGCAAAAACAAAAGTCAATTTTGCCCATTGAACACAAGCAACAGAAGAAAATGTTATCAAAATGTTAATCGATCTCGTTTCATTAAAGGTATTATTAACAAAAGTGTCACAAAGAGTTCATCTTGTGGTTCACCATGAATATTGAGGTAACATGGAGACAAGGTTAACAGGATTCTATTGAGGATTTACTCGTCTTTTGGATAAAAAAAGAGGAAGAAAAAGATTCACCGAGAAAATTAATAGACTTAATACTTTAGCATCTTGCATTTTCATCATCTTTAGCTTCATCTTATTCTGCCTTTTCTTGTTCCTCCTTCGGTCAATATTATACTAATAACAGTTGTGAGTGAATATATTGACATTGTATTTTATTTGCTTTCTCCTGGCTACATTAGGATTCCATTTTTGTATTCAGATTGGTTCCAAGTATCAAGAGGTTCATGGTGAAGAGTAAAGTTTAATGATAGGAAAGGAACAAATAAAATGTTTTACTTTTTTCGCCATTTTCCATTGAAACTCAGAGTGGAAAGAAGAAGATATTTTGCTTCTCTCAAAACAAGATACTTGCCAAGTTATCAGGTTAATGTGCGAAATTCAATTGGTTCAATAAAATGCTACACAAATGAGAAATTAATCACCATTAATGGTTACTTAATGATTAAATGATGGGTTGAATAAGCAAAAAAATCAAAGCTTAAAATCATTAGAACATGATGAAAGGTAAATGTTGAGAAAAAAAAGAAACTTAAATCCATCAATTATAAAATTCTGTATTATCAGTTCATGTTTTGTTTCCCATGGCTTTGCATGGATAACAATTGAAACTGTTTCAAGATTTGTTTCTCTTCACATCAGTTTCACTGGACCAACATTTTCAACCTTTAATCCTTCGACTGGTTTTTGGTCAACAAGATGGCTCAGGAATTAAAAACCAATTTGTATTCACATTCAATCAATAAAACGAAATGAGGAAAATCAACAGAAAATATTAATTTATTCATCGTTTTCATCAATCTTTTATCAGTGGAAAGGAAAGGTGAAAATTTTAAAAGTCACTTTGAGCTATTTTAACATTAACGAGTGAAACTAAAACATTGAATTTCAACTGTTTCTGGATAAGATATGAAATTCATGAAAATGTCAAAAATATTAAAATTGTTTGATGAAGCAAAGATGTTGAACTTGTTTCACAGAAGCTGAATATTCAGTTTACATTTTATAAATGCTTCTAATTTAAAGTGAAAAATTGGCTCCAAAATTAAAGTCGACTTAATTTCTCATCTGTAATAACCTTTCATCCGCTTCACTTCCATCATGATTATCGTTTACTTTTAATGGTTAAATCTCACAACAATAATTTCTATTTATTATCAAGTCAAAAACAACAAAAACCCGAACCAAGAAACATCAATTGAAGCGAGTTTCGATAATAAGAAACATTTCCAATTGCAAGTGTAAACACATTTTAATGGCATTTAAACGTCAAGTTGAGGTAAATTCATGGATCGATAAATTAATTTGAACAATCAAACTAATAAGGATAATGGTTAATGATGATAATGATGCTAATGACAGTGATAATATATTAAGAGGCTGAAAGAAAAGATCAACTCATCAAATGATTAACAATGACATGAAACATTTTCTTGCCATCATGATAATGAGTTTCAAGCTTTCTAAAAAAAGATAAAAGCTGAAAGAGCAAAATGATTTCCTGAAGAGAGAGAAAGAAAAAGGAAAACATTGAAAAGATTAAGTCATGATAAAATTGACTGAGCCTTGAAATCATTAATATCAAGATATTAGCAAAGAAGATGAAGAAAAAAAATGGGCGAAAATTTTCTTCCAAACTACCCATTCCTTAATGATATTGTTTATCAACAAGTTTATTAAAGGTTAAACTTTTTCAATGGATCTCAAGATTTACATTAATAATTCATTGGCATTCATTATTGACCAGTTCAATTGAATTTAAACTAAAATTGAGTTACATTATAAATTGAATTGCAAGTTATGAATTTGTGAAAAGGAGAGAAGAAAAAGTTGTTCCAGAAAATTTCCTCTTGAAAGTTGATTTCTTTTCTTCTTCTTTTCAGGGAAAAATATTTATTCGTCTCAAGATGAAATATCTTCAGTTATGATAACTGTGATAGTGCTTCTAGGCATTTGGACGTTTCTATTTATACTCATGTGAAGCCTGGGAGTGAAAGTTGTTAGCATTGTTATTGATTTTACTTTTTACTTCTTTTGTGTGTTTATAAATATTTTAAAGTGTTGATAAGATGAACCCTTGAATGATGAATGAACAAAATTATCTTATTCTCTGTTTCAGGATAACAAGTTGAAACCAATCAAAAGATTTATCAATATCAAAGTTTCCCTTTTTGGTTATTACTTTTTACTCTTCAATTTGCGCATTCAGTGAATAACTCATGAGATGATGAACAACTGTAAAACTATTCATCATTGAAATGCACGAAAATTCAAGGATGAAAAGATATTCCATCATCTTATTCACTTTATCTTTTCTTGTTTCATCTAATCTTTATTTACCTTTCAATTTTACTCATTTTATTTGCTTTGTGCGACTTTCAACTTTTCACGTTTTCTTGTGTTTATATTGACAATTGGCTTGATATTGACGATTCCCGTGAAATCAGGATTGATTTCATCTTTACTTTCAGAGATTTTGCTTTTGCTTTGGTTTTTGATTGAAAAATTATTCAAATTGCCTTCATAACAAGCTTCATTTAAGCTGAAATTATCAATTTTTTCTTCTCTTTTCTTTCTTCTCTGTTGAGTCTGGGAAATGAACTGAAATTCAACATTTAAATTGTTTAATAAAATTGAATCACAAGTGATACTTGTTTATACTTTCAACTGTAAACATCAAAACTCTTTTCTGTTATTCTGGTTAATCTTTTCATACTGAAACAGAGTTGAAGCATTTGAATAGATTTCAACGTTTCTTCTGTTGTCTATTAATTTGTTGCCTTTTGTTTTACCGTTTAAATTTGCATATAAAGTCAATTGTTTGATGGTGAAAAATGTTGACTTGATTAGGCCTAAGGTCGAGGGAATTGTTGATTTAGATTTGCAAAATTGCATTTAAAACATTTAGTTTCGTAAAAATGCGTGTAAATGAGTTCAAGTTGAGTATCAAAAAAGAGGAAAAAAGTGTCAGAATTTATTCATTTCTCTCTATTCAAATGCTTTTCATGAAAACAAGACTAATGAGATTTTTTATAAGTTCAGTTTGCAATTTATTTCATGAAAAATTCTGGCGACACAGATTTAAGATTTTACGTTTCAAGGCTTCAAATTTTTTTAGAATTGAATGTTTTTTTATTAATTTCTTAAGATTGAGTTTACGGCAAAATTGGTCGATAATTCAATTTCAATGGTGATCTTGGTTGACAATGAAATTATGTGTTTAAAGACATTTACTTACCGCTATTCTTGAATGGGAAGTCAACCAGACGAATCCCTGTGAAGCAGTTTGAGTTTGTGGCTCTGAGTAAAATTCAACTCCGGGTTCACCTTTGGTTTCAGATGTTTCTTGAGGTTTACGTTTACCTCGATGTTTGTGGTGACGGTGTTCATGTTTTGGCTGGTAGACTGAGTCGGTTGACTGTTTGGTTACATTCAACAGTTCACTGGATGACAATGATTGATGTACTAAATTATTTACAGGCTGGATTAGTGGATAAGAGCGTTTGGATCGATCCTTAACATGCGACTTTACAGATTTCACATTATTTATTATGCTCACTGAAGGTGTACCGATGGATGAGCCAAGGCAAGACACTTGCTTTTGTAGGTCATAAATTAGGTAAAAGTTGTAGGTTAATCCGCAATAGAGGCAAATAAAGAGCATCAATTGAAGCCAATGTCCAAAGTAACATTTAACTTTTAATTTGTCCATTTTTTAGATTCAACTTTCTCTTCTTATTACTTGGATATTTTTACCATTTATTGTATTTACAATTATTGGTAGATCAAGTGTTGTTAAATGAATTTGGTTAGAAAATAATTAATTGGTTAACTTTGAGGTTAAAAAGAAGGTGAAAATACACTGAGTTTCGGTGAATTTGCAAGTTGAATAAAAGTAGAAACATTTGACTGTTGCTTTAACTGGTAAAGTAAAAAAAGTTTCACATTTATTTTGGTTTCAATCATTTTGTTCATCTTTACATTAGGTGGTGATGATTGAGTTAAACCATAATTCACTTATGATTGATGGTTAATTAACTAAGAGAGTGAGTTTAATTTGAAAAGGACAAAAAATGTAAATAAATATCAATCATCATGTTGATTAAGAAAGATTGGTCTAAGAAATGTTTTCAGTTTGTAATTCATTTAACCGGCGGACATAATAAACTCTTAATCAATGAGAAAGCAAAACAACAATAAAGACAACAACTTTTGTTTTTCATAATATCAAAGTAAACTTGGAAAGATAATGATGAGTCTGATGAAAATGAAGAAGATGATGATGATGGAAGAGGATAACAAAGTGAGATATTTATGCTCAGTCTTTTCTAGTTTATGCCTTTGAACATGAGAAACCTTTCAATGGTTAATCCATATTCAGTTCAACTGAATACTCTCAATGAACTTAACAAGGCAATTTTTTCTTCTTCTCTCGATTCGACTCAAATATTATCCAACAATTGAGCAAGGTAAGGTATTAAAGATGATGAGAATGATGAAGATAATTTTCCATCTTTCACAGCTTTCAGTGTTCAACACTTTTACTTCTCATATTTTACCATTATCATGTAAGAATCTTGTCTTTTAAGGGCAAAAATTTCACACTTTATTATTATTATCATGCAAAACCAATGAAATGATAAATTGCTGGTAAAATAGCATTTGCCATCATCACCATCCTTTGGCTTTGTTTCTTTTTCTTATTCATTCCTTCGTTTTTTATTCTTTTCATATTTTTATTCCATCCACGAATTGAATATTATTATTAACATTATTGCGATTATTGTTGTTGGTGTTGTTGTTGTTGTTTTGAAATTGAACCATATTGTATTTATCAATGTTAACACTGTTTTATCAATAAAATTTCACGTGACTTGGAACCATTGATTCAACTTTTCCTTGGTCTTATTAATGTGTCAATTTGCTTTTCCTTTTTGTCTCTATTGGTTTGTTTTTCACGCTTTAAATCATCTTGGTACCAGGTAATTGTCATTGGCTTTGTTTTCCACTAAATTTGCCAACAAAGTTAATCAATTGTTATATTCCTAAATATTCTTTAGGTTAACATTGATTTCGAGGTACATTGAATTTTGCCTCCTTTCAGTAAACATTAATAAAATGTATTTGAATCACATTTCTAGCTAAGGTAACTTGTAAAGCTAATGGTTTGACTTTGCTTAGCTCCATGTTAAGATTAGAATTGGCTTTTTTGTTCGTATAACTATTTATTTGCTTCATAAATTTGAGCAAAATTTATACATTTCAAAAGGATTTCGGGCGTTAATAGCTTTGATTTCTTCCCGACCTTCTGGGGTTTTACTCTGTGGTCTTTGTAACAGCATTTTATCCGTGTAATAATCTAAACAGCTATCAGCTTCCATGTCAGAATAATTTTCCACTTTTATGGGAATAAATGGATCAAAATCTTCCCAACCCTGAATTGAGAGAAGAAAAGTAAAAGAAATGGAAATGGAAATCAGAATGAAAATGCATAAATTTTGAGAATCATTTGACTCACTTCAGACAGCAGACATTCACAGAGTATAATCAAAATTTAAATTTTTTCACCTCAGATTAGTTTCGAAAGAATAGTTCACAAATATTCAATTTCTTGAAGTTTTTTCAAGTGAAGTGAGTCAAATAATAATTTGAAAATTATTCAAGTAAATTCTTACTCTATCAGTTAAAAGAGCTTTAGGATAATAAGGTGTTAAGCGATTTTTCCAGTGACTTTGATTAACATAGGTAGCCCCAACAAATAAACCATTTTTCTGTAAAATAAAAAATGTTTGATTAAATAGTGACGTGAAAGTGAATTTTGATTAAATTGTAAGCCTACCCAATCATTTTTAAACATTTTCATGAAAGCTCTTGCTAGAGTCATTTCTTCTACGCTGGCTACTCTTCCATCAGCATGTTTTACAAGAGGTTTCTTATAGAATAGATTAACATCATTAGCTAAGACCATTAAACGACAGAGATTATTGTTGGCAGCTATTTTCAACTCTTTTAATAGAACGGCATAGCAATCTGAAGCATGTTTCATCCTGCTGATACCATGATCAATTACATTCACTAGTGGTTCTCCTTGTTCTGTTATTTCTCGCAGACTCCAGGTGTATTTCTGAGACACTTTCAACTAGATGGGAAAAACATAAAATAAATAAGATGAAATGATTAGTTCGATTCATTTTTTGAAATTTAAGAAATGAAATTGTTTACCTCAGATTTTGAGAGGAATAAACTATTTTGGTTTTTAAAATGTCTTAAGGCAAGAGCAGCATTCAATGGGAAATCCAATCGACCCGGTCGTGATTCAGAAACTTCAATTTCAGCAGGTTCATCGAGCCAATCTCTAGGTGAAGCAAGGTGAACAAGACAGAATCCATTCAGATAGCCCCAATACGCTAAATGATTGAGAGTAAAAGTTTTGCCAGCTCCTTGGCGACCCCCTGCAAAAAATTAAGATTACAAATAAGACAAAGAAATGAGCAGATTGTAGTTATTTACTTACAAAGGATGTAACGATTTGCAGGTCGATCAAAGTCAGTTTTTTCAATGTATTCAAGAAGCTGTATGAACGGTAAACGAACCATGATACTTTTATCGTCAAGAACTTCAAATAACTCTACTGCAACAGGCTCAAACCCATTGACACCAAACAAACGCTCATAAATGTCCTTCTTGATTGGTTCAAATGTTCCGATGATTGGCTTTTCAGGAGGCATCGAAATCGAAGATGTAACAGAATTAGTGGGTGAACACATGAATCTTTTCAGCAATGATAGACTAGATCGCTTCGCAACACATCTTGCGGTAGTTAACATGATGAATCAACACTATTCGAATATAGTGTAATCAAGGCACTAGCTTTTTAATTTATTATTAAATAATTTAAAGGAATAAGATCATACAAAGTTGGTAATTAATCGCTTGTAACTAATAGACTGAATGTAATCAAAATTTCAAAATCTTGCTTGTGTTTTGGTAAAACATGTGAAAGATTCAATTCAATTCAATTCAATTAAATGATGATAGATGGCACTACAATGAACTTGACCAATAGATTAGGAAAAGCCAATGACTTGGCTTCAATTGAAGTTGAGGTTTTTTCGCGAAAATATTAAATATTAAAAGGAAAATATCTTTTTGACTTATTTTTTGTTAATTAAGAAGTAAACATGAAAAATCTAAAGTTTGTGTTTTGAATTACAAGTAACTCGATAGATAATAAAACAAAATTGTTTTCAGGCAAGTTACACTGATTTACAAATTTGGGTGAGGAGAGCCATGTTTTCATAGATTTTCTTTAAGATTGAAGTTTAAAGATTGACAGGCTTGATTTGAAGAATAAAATATTTTTGAATGAAACGACTTTAACTTTTGAATTGGCTCCATCCATTAATTTAGAAAATTTTTACACCATGAAAGAAGAGGGCAACATTGAGCTCACCGGCGGTCTTCCATTGCTTTATAAATAAGAGCTCTTATATTTAACTTTAAACAGATATTAAGAAATTGTACTGTTTATTTGGATGTTCAATTTATAAAACCGAAAATCAAGTACTTCCAGAATTGAATTAATACAATTATCCACAACAGCTGTTTAAGCCATTTTGTTTACTATAGTTAGGTGCAGAGAGGCTAGTTGACTTGTCCATTTTTCCAAAGCTCGATATCTTGCACCAGTTAAAGTACTTTTAGTCAATTCTAAATTTTGATTTACTTGATCGATGCGTCCTTGAATTGTACTGCAAGATGAATCAAACAGAGTAAATTATTTAAATGCATATGATTAAAGTGAATAATAAGATGCAAACATACTTATCAAGAATGCATGATACCAGTAAATTTTCGACTTCTGATGGTTCTATGTTTAACTCCTGGGTTGAGGAAATTAAGAGTTAGAACTCAATCATAATAAATTTGATGAGTGATGTTGAAATCTATGAAACTTACCTGTGAAATAAAAGGAATGTGTATTCTAGTGTAAGGTTTGATGAGTTTAATTAAGACTTGAGTTCTAATGTTCCTCAATAGATCTAAAAAATGGGTAAAAATTATTAGAATTGTTCAATTACTCATTAAATAAATAAAGATTAGAGGTTATAAATATTCACCTTCAATGTGTTCTTTAATGAAAGGGTCATCCATTATCGTTCTCCTATTATTTTTCAGAATTTTTTCAAATTCATGGATATCATTATTTTGATAAGCGCTGACAAGATTGGTCATTGCAAGAATCTCTGGATCATTTTTGTACGGCTTTGCTTCTTGAGAATCGAAAGGATTGATCCCCGATTTCATGAGCATATTCGCTAAAACTAAATATTTAAGACAGGTGGTTCGTCTTGGGCTACCTGATTCGTCATAATTTTTGAAGGCCTCAAAAAAATCTGTATGTGACTTTTCATATTCACCTTCCCTAAGATGCATTTTACCACCGCATTCTATTAAAAGTAGAAAATTAAAAAGGTTATTTAACTTGAGTAAGCAGTATAAATTAAAATATTAAGCATTATTTACCTCTTATAACACCCATGATTAAGGGGTGAGGTATCGCCGATTTGATACAAAGGGACTGTTCATAGAGTTTCTGTTGAAATAGAAAAGGATGTAAATTAGTTGCTTTTTCAATAATTTGAACATGATCTTTTGACATACCTTGAGTTTCTTATTGTTTTTTTGAGCTGTATACATTTGAATTTCTAAAGCATAAATTTCTAGTAGTTGAGTTCCTTTCTTCAAATCATCTGATCCGTCATCATTCTGGCAGGATTGGTGCAATTGTTTTAATATTTTGGCCAATTTATTGAACTCGCCTCTATCATAATAAAGTTTACCCAGTTTAGTATTTGTTTTAAACCATAGACGATCATTTTTAGCGTCCTTCAGTGCTTCTAAAGTTGTTTCGTAAAATTCCTGAAGTAATTCCATCTTTGACAAAGGGAGAGACAAATAGAAGTATGATTAACAGTATAAATTTTTTAACATGCAGAAGGGACGAATATCTAACATTGACAGATGTAATTCATTTGACAAGGAGCATGGTAGTTACCTGTTTGCTCGTTGAGATGTAATCGAGAATGGAATTTATAGACTTTTCAGAATAATTTCTGGTAACAGCACTTTTAATATAAGTTAGCAACTGTTTATATCGAGCCATCATCTCTTCATAGTGACCCTGTAAGACGAGCATGAAAAATAAGCGGATTATTTTTTAGAATCAAATAAGAAGATGATAAGACAAATCATGGCAGTGACAAATATAATTGAAATTTTCTGATTATAAACGACACAGCAAGAATCTGCTAGTTATGAAAAAAGAGAATAAAATACTTACCAGTCTGAAATTGATTTTGATCATTTGTTTGAGGGCTTTGAATCCCCACTCGTTTTTTTCATTGCTTTCGAGATCCAAGACTTTCTGAAAACTTTGCAAGGCGGCTTTGGGATCATCTTCTTTAAGAGCTTTGGAGTTATAATATTGATTCTCTAAATCTACATCAGGTTCCGAATTACTGTCCTCAGAGTATTCCTGTAATTTTGAAAAGAAAAATTATGGGTTAACTGTCATGAATAAGGTCAATTGGTATTGGTGAATTGAATGGAAGCAGAGACAAAATATTGAAACAAAACTGAACTATAAAAAATGAAAAAAAGGTTAAATTTTAAAAGACAGAAAATATTGAAAAAGAAAGAGAAATGTCAAGGATTGGAAGGCAAGGGAAAGAGCAAGAAAGCCGCAAACAAGTAACTTACCAAGTCGTAATCTTCATCATCATCAACCATGAAATCATCATCGGCATCACTCATGATGACAATAGGGTATAATCGATTGTACAATTAAACTAATAATATATATCAACAGATCGGCAATAAAAATAATCACTACTGAATTTAACAATTTAACCTAAACCAGCATACAATTTCTTTCATTGAGAAACCTTTTTCAAATTGTTGTCATGTGCACCGTCAGATGGCATATAAAGAAACGGTAAGCAAATTCGCGGTTAAATTGATTTATCAAACAAACTCAAAGCTATCAATTCTTGAAATAAACCCAAATAAACCCTGAAAACAATCTAAACGAAACAATAATAATTACATAACCGAAATTCTAACATGATTAAAATACAAAAATAAACATCGAAGAAGCTAAAAACACTTTTATCTTTTATTTTCCAAGCAATAAAGTCTATGTTTACAGATCTACTAAAGATTAGCGCCATTAGAGGGAGTCACCATTCAATATGAAAAAAGTGATTAAATTTCAATTTTCAATTATAAATAATAATTGAACAATTAGAGGTTAAATTTTTGCCCAATTATTCAACAGATAAATTTAATTTCCTCCATCCCTTGACCATTAATCAGATGTACATTTAATGATGACAAATCATGAAAAAAACTTACATTGAATTAAAAGCTCTTTGATTATGTTTCCACTTTTGGTAAAAAATGTCATTAAAACTTGCATTATTCATCAGATGATAATCTTATGGTAATTATGAGTGTAAAAAGTTTAAATAATAGCAACAAAATGTTATAAAACAAAATAGATGAAAGACTAAAATATCAAGATGTGATAAATTGATTTGAAGCACGCAACTGAATGACACAAATTTTTTACGATTTAACCAAATGGACATTGACAAAGGATAAAGTGACTTTGAATGATAAAGTTGAATTCAAGTTAAATCAGATTAAACCTTCAATGTTACCACTTGAAACGTGCAAAGGAAATGTTAATCAGAAACTAATTTAGCAAAATTGAAGAGCACCTTTTGACCAGAAAATTATCTAAAATCAATAATCTCAATTTAAAGCTGTAAATGACATGAAAATGAATTTCTAAAGCTCAATAAGGTTTCTCTGGTTTTTAGACCAAAAAATGTGTTACATTTAACATTGTTTGAGTAAAGGAAAAGGTAAATCTTTTGTTCCAAACTGGTTCATGGAATCTCATTGAACAACTGTGTAATACAAATAATGAAAAGAAATGTTTTTTACTCTGTAATCAAATGTTGATTGTGTATTTTAAATGGTTTCACTGAATCAACAGACAATTGTTAGACAATGAAATTGATAAAAGTGAAAGAAAGGTTGATGAAAGAAATGAAATGAAAAGCTTAACTTTAAAGCAAAATTTCATCTCAAGATGTGCATTTGATGATGACAATGATGATGGTGATGAATGAAATGAATGTCAATATGGCTTCATCTTCATGGAATCAAAAGCTAATCATGAGCTTAAAAAGTCTTGAAGCTGCATTATTTTCACCAACTTTTCCCTTCTTTTCACTCATAACTTTTCAACTTAAGCTTATTATTTTGTTTCATCTTCATTCATTATATCAACAATTTTCTTTACCTTTTCCCTCTTCATGATCACCTCCATGATCACCTTCATGGCAACCTTCATGGTAACCTTGATGGTCATCTTGATGATGATCTTGTTTAAAAAATTTGAACCCAAAAAAAGGTGTTTTCTGTTACCAGTTTCTCGAGTAAAGACAAAAGCCTTTGACTGCAACTTTTTTGTGTCTTGAGGTTTACAATGAAATGACTTATAATCCATTAACATTATCATTATTATTTTTATTACGATTGTTATTATATTTATCAAGAGAAACCACGGAATGAAAATACGTTGAAGAAAAGATGAAGATGGAGAAAAGATGAGAAAGAAAAATTGTTGAAAATAACGTCAATTCTGATGATGATGTTGGTCAAGGGTCAGCATACAATTGCTTGTTACCAAAAATAAAAGTCAACCAACCAATAATTCCTGTTTATGACATGATTTATAATTAGAGTTGCAAGAGAAGATGAAAATGCTTTTTTCTTCTCATCCTTTTGTGGTATTACATTTTGTCCCTTATTTTCAACATCAGATTGTTTACTTCATCATATCATATCATCTTATAGGTTTCATCTTTGAATTATCATCAATATTAACATGAGTTTTGTATTGTTTCATTGTGACAACACTGGAACAAGACAATGAAATGGAAACCAATTTAACACAAATTTTCCAATTAAATTATCACAACAAGTTAAAAGCAAAAGTCAATCATTTCAATGAAAACAAACACAAAACTGAATCCCATGAAAAAGCAACATTTTGAGAGAAAAAATTTCCACCAAACTCATTTTCCAAATTTAAATTTCAAAAATATTTCCCTAATTTTTCACTTCCGATGAACCAAAAGCTGTCTGAATAACAGTTGATTCAATGAATAATTATTATCCTATTTGATGAAATTAAGTTTACATTAGATTAACTTGTTTGGTTGGAAGTCGTTCTTGAAATGAACCATTTAAAGGCAACCCGCGATCTCAAGGTTTACGGTCAACCATTTGTAGTGCTACCAGACTGACCCAAGGTAGCATTAAATTAGGTTAGATTAGGTTGGCTTGACTCGCCTTACTCATCATTACTGTGAGTCTTTGATCCGACAAAACAACTGTGTAAGACTTTAAGCCATCTAATCAACCTTAACCTAAATGGTTTCCCTTCATCGGTTACCCTTGTTGGATAAGGTTACCATCATTGTGAGTATTATTTTTTTACCTTTCAGTTTATGTTATCATAACTTTACATGTAAACTAAGCAACCAGCTTGAGCTACTTATTACCTTGAGCAACCTTGTTTTCAACCCTTGACTCGACCCTTAAACTTTTCAAATGAAATATTGATAATGCATAATTGATGTGTAATCTCATTATTTAGGGAACAAAGTTTTTGTCTTTTTTTTTACTCTCATCTTACACCAATTTACATTGAATCCTATTGTTTTCATCGTTTATTTAAACTTTACTTTAGTTGCAATATTAATGGAAATGTTGCCCAAAAACAAAACCATTTGTGCAACAAAAATTTGATTCAATTTGTCTCAACATTGAACAAGTTGGAAAGCACAAGAAACACCAAGAAAAAGATAAACACGTAAAAATAATAAAAAAAATTATAGCACAACAATAAAAGGTTACGATGGTAAAGGTTTACATGATGAATAAGCTTCAGCTATAAATATTGTCCTTCTTTTCCCATCATTACCTAAATTAAATTATTAGTTAATCATGTTGGAATCATGATTCAATTTTGTTTTCCGTAAAAACTTTATATTCATATCAATGTGTTCAATTGAAAAGATGATTTACTTTTTATTCAATTCTGAATCAATCCCTGGGAGTGTCCATCGTCCACTTTCTTGTAACTTGAGTTTTCTTTTTTTTCTCTTCTGAATATCGTTCTATTCAGGTTTACATTCTGATTTGTTGTGTTTTTTTTCCTTTTCACCTGTTGATGTTGAACCACTGCTCATCACTTTTCATTGTTCATGATGATGATTGAAAAGCAATGAATAATCTTGATGTTGAAAAGATATTCTCTTTTTATTTACACTTTTATTCATTGAATGTGTTCAATCTTGTTCATCAACAAATTCATGTCATGTTATGGTTATGTGTTTCCTTGATGGATAAAATGTTTACTTGAAAATGAGCAAAGCTCAATCAACTATCATGGTTAAACGGAAATAACAAAAAGCTCAAGAAATCAAAAAACTTGTTATGTTATGATTGATTTGCTTTTCTCAATAATTCATTATCCATTGAACTAATCAAAAGAAAGTTGCCAAAAGTGTTGAAACATGAACGAATAGTTATTGGCAGGAAAAATAAGATCGCCTTCGAAAATTCAGTTCGAATTTTTTCGCATTAAATCTGCTAAATTTTCCTTGGCGAGTTTCGAAGCAAAAATTTTTGAACTTTTCAAATGAACGTTCCAATTAACAAACACAACTTTCCTGCGTCTTGAACAGTTCATTCTCTCGTCATATTAGCAAAACTAATTTTACCATTTAGAACTCAAATGCATTCAAAATTTTTTTCTTTTTCTTTTTTTCGGTAAAAATTAAAATCTCGATTTTCGCCTTCGCTACTGACTGGTGAGTTTTTCGCATTGAAAAAGTGCGTTGGTCTGTAAAGTTTATTGAATGAAAAGTGTTCTAACGAGTCTTTTGGTCTTGCAACTTTAATTGATCAAAACAAGACTTTTGTCTGGAAACTCGATGAATAGGGAAAAGCAGTGAAACAATAAACTGGATTAAATGAATAATGATTTGGAATGACCTCAAGATGGCGTTGTTTGTTGGATGAAAAAAAATATTACGCTCATTGCAGACTCACTGATGATGACTGACAACTCGAGAGGATTGAGCCAGTCAATGAAACAGTTGAGAGAAGAGAGAGAGGAAAAGAGAAAGAAAAGAGAGTGACAGAGAGTGAGAGAGAAACGAATCAAGAAAAAATATCATTCCCTGTTAAACAGTATCAAATACAATTTTGCTCACAACATCGTCACCACCAGCATCATCATCATTACCTTATCCACATCCTCATACTATACCTGTCCTATACTATACTCATCCTATACACCAAACAGAATTGTTCAGTGAGAATAAAAGTTTCTTAATCTACAACTTGAACTACAGAAACTCCAACAACCTTTCAACAGCAACAGTGTTTTTCAATGTTAACAGAATGCCAAGAAAGAAACTGGATTAACATCAACAATTGAAGGTAAGTTTAATTTTAAATTAACAGCAAAAATATTCAACTTTTCTTCAACCTTTCCATGATCAGATGAATATTTAGTTTTTTTCAGTTTTCCATGAAAATGTTTGTCAAAAGTTCTGCTCTTTCCTTGTATCAGTTTTACCGCTTAAAGCAAATTGATATTGAAACTAAAATATCAATTGAATATGATTGTTGTATTGTTTTGCTTTGCTTGTTATTAAAATAAGTGAAAGGCTAATTTATCTTGTGACAAATAATTTGTATTCAGATATGATAATGTGAAATTAGATTCAGTAAACTGTAAATGGGTGTTTTGTGATCACACAAAGTTGGACACTAATTTTCAATAATAATTGCTTGCTTCCTTGACTTCAATTAATTTCAATTTTACCTGACCCACAACAGGCCAGTGAAGGTAAAGGAAAGCTCCAATGACAATGACCAGTAAAGTGGGAAGATGAGAGAGAGAGAAGAAGATGAAGAGAGAATTGATTCTCAGTGTTATCATTGCTTATTCAATGCTCACTCCCAGTCAGTTTAGTCATTGGGAGTGAAAATTATTAAAACTTTTTCAATCATGACCAAATCCTGGCTGTAAATTATTTCCATCAATAATATTTCTCTTTTTACTTTCCATTCATTTAAACATTATTCACATTTAATATTCTGCGTGTATTCAACTAGTTAGAACAAAACTGGCTCATCAAATATCATCATTATACGGAATTGATTCATTACAGTTTTCTGTTTCTTTTCAATGGAAACAGGAAAATACCATTTAATTGCGATTAACAAAGCTGTGAAAATTTCACAACAAATTTCTTTCAAGTTTCATGAGCAAACCATAAATTGATATTGCAATAACAAATTCTGTGAAAAGTTTCATGTAAGATTTAAAGTCTCGATTAGGTTGTTCAAATTTAAATGTCACAAGAGAAGAATTACAATTCGAATTTTTTAAGTTTCGAGTGATTAAATCAACCAGTTAGTCTATCAAGGTTTCAACAAAATTATTCGTTTTGCTCTAATCAAATTTTCAAGAAATTTACATGGGAAATCGAAAATTCTGAGTTCGATTAGTTTTCCAATTTTCCCAATTTGTCAATTCTGCATTCGAAAACTTTGGCATTTCCAAATTTTCCAATAAACTGTTGAGTTAAGAAAGTTTCGATGTTTAAACGAGAAGTCAAAAAATGAAAGTTCTGAAATCCAATATTCTTTCATTCCTTCGACTTATAAGATGGTCACTTGGAAAACTTTCAATTTTAGCAATAAAAACTGAAAATTAATCTGAAAAAAATTTTAAGTTAATTTCCAAAAATTGTTAAAAAACTTGAATGTTATCTTAAAGTGACTTGGAGTAAAGATTATCGAAATTTTCACTCCAAGGTCAAGCAGTGGAATGAGCTAAAAATGTGAAAAAAACTCTGAATTGTTTAGCTTTTAACCTTAGATAATTGCATCAGGTTAAACCTTGACTATTATAGTTGCTCTTATTGTTATGAAAATAGCAACATTATGTCAAAGGTGAATATCATCATTTTTCCTCTTTACTCTTAATTTCCATGTAAACTCATTCGCGTTGTTTCATCCTTTTTTTGTTCATCTGCTCATCCATTTACAACCTTAAACTCTGTTATTATTATTATATTTTTTTGTTTCTTTTCAACTTTACTTCAACATTAACTTCATCATTGAACCATTCAATTTTACCCTGAAATTGCTTATTTTTACACTTCTCTGAACTTGAAATAATCAACTGCTCTGAATGAGATTGAATGGCAAGGTGAACCCTGTGCAAGCAGCAAGGAAAAGCCTCAAAATTTTGGTGAATTCAAATTTGATAAAGTATAATGATGAACAACAACAGATTAACTTACCAGATAAAACTATTAACTTTATCATCATTATCACCTTTTATCATATTAATAGCTTCGTTATATTCAGTTGAGATCTTCCTTTTTCTCGCTTCTTTCATTAAACCTTTAAATCAACTTTTTTTTTGTTTTCTGTTTACACTTTTAATTTTAATTTACTTCTTTAATCATCTTTCATATTCAACATTTCAATTGAAAGGCTTCAACTGAATTCAGATTTTGGTTGAAACATTGACCATTAAGAGGCTTCATTCACTTTACATGCAATTCTCAACCATTTAAATTATTAATATGATGATCATTAAAGTTACGTGTTCAACTCTTTTCCCTGTTTCTTGCGATTTTGAATAACAATTTGAATAACAGCATGTAAACCCTGGTTTACCCGTTTCACGTTGGATAATGAAAAAAGTCGAACACAAAAAAGGAAAGAGAAACAAAGTGTTTATAAACCTTTTAATATTCACTTTAATACAATATTCAAATTAACATTTGTAACCATCACCGGTAGACCCTTGCTAATTAATCAGACCAAAGAAGAAAAAGTCATCTCAATTGATGAACAAATGATGAATCCATAATCACAATTTTCCAACTCATGTAATTATTCCGTCATTTTCTAATTGTTTACAACAATTCAAAAGTCAAATTACTTTTTTGCAAAAACATTTACAACCTTTCATTCCATATTCAAATGTTCATTTCTTGTCAGTCATGAAAAGCGATTAAATTTTACGCAAAATATTCATCCTTTTTATCTAAAAAAAGACTTTGAGCTTCATCTTCATAACCAAGCTGACCTAGTAACTTGAGCACAAGTCTGCAAGATGCAAAAATTCATTGTTTTCAAGAAAATTTCCTTCTCTTTAAAGTGCATTCGTTTTCTTTTCGCAATGACTGTAAGATTGCCTGTGAAATCCCAGAAAACTTGCAAAACTTATTCAAATTGTTTAGTGAACTTTTTTCAGGGAAACTGTGGATAAAAACTTTTCGACTTTCGATTTTTTGTAAATTCTGATGCTATTTTGTTCATTTAGATTATTAAATAAAGTTTGCTTTGAATTGTTTTTCCACATAAAAGATCCATTAAGTTTCCAGTTAAACAAAGATCCGCAAAACCCGCGTACAACTCTGAATTTGTAAACATTTCTGTAAACTTTGAAACAGTTTGAATAAGTGATAAACATTGGATAAGCCACTCTTGCAGGTAATAAAGTGAGTTAAACTGCAAGTTATGACATTTGCTTTTTTGTACGTTTTCCTTGCCATTTGTTAAATTTTTTGCAATGAAGATACTTTTCCTTTCATATTGTGTTACAGTCGAGTTTCATGATACACTAGAAATGAAAGTGAAAAGAAAAACTTTCGACTTTTGTTTTCGTGAAGAACAAAAAAGAAAAGAAAACTGAAGAAAAGATGAAAAATTCTCGTTCACATAGCTCATTGAGTGCAGATTTTGTTTCCATTGTATTCATCAATATTTGATAAAAGTCACGTTCAAAAATGATTCACCCTTCATTCAATTCTTAAGTTTCACTTCCCTTGATAATAAAGATAATATTGAATAAAAAGTATTGCAAAAAAGGGAAAAATTTGAAGAACGAAAAAAAAGGACGAAGAAGAAGGCAAAAAAAAGAGATTCTGAACAGGTATAAGGTGAAACATTTGTAGTTCATCCTCTTAATATTTTTTAACTTATCATGTTTGAGTAAAGATGAAAATGATGAAGATGATGTTTATCAAGCAAAAATGTATCTTACTTGTTCCTCTCTTGCTCATCATTTCCTAATCTTTTGACATACATCATCATTAAAGTGTCTCACTCTCATGTGAACCCCTGAGCCCTTTACATATCATCTCAAGTTCAACATTATTATTAACATTGCATGGTTTTTCCTCATTCCAATTCATGTTCAACTTGAACATTTCAACATTTTACTTTTTTCAGTTTTACTTTTCAATTTGTTTTTGCCATTTTACAAAATTCTTGACTCGAGTTTACATTTGATTGAATCAAACAGTTTTAATGGTTTACAAGCCATTAACGTAATTTGTGAAAAAACAACAAATTAATTGGCAGAATTTGAATTTTCTGGATTCATTGAGAAGCGAAAATATGCTCTTTAAGATTGTTGTAGTTGAAGTCACAAGATTGGATATCAATGACTGAACTTATCAGAGTCAAGATCAAGAGATTTTTCAGATTTTCCAAAGTTTCAAGAGTAAAGTTTTTGTGGAAAGTTTCATTTTTTAAAAAAATCATTTTCTTCAATTGTAAAGATTTTGACTTTGCAGAAGCAAAATGGTGGAAATGCATTTAAAGTAAAGAATTGGTATTTTGTCAGAGTTTTGAATAACTTGATTGAAATGAATAAGTGATTGCATTTTGAATGATTGAAGGGAAAATTGTTTGGTACAAGAAAAAAAATCTCTTGTCAACAGTCTTGTTATAATTCAATTTGAAAGGCCAAAGAAAAAGTGTTTTTTTCACTTTTGCAAACATCAAATGGCAAACTTTTCCTTTTCAAATTCAAACCTTTTCCATGAAAAGTTTTTCTTCATTCAAGCCACCACTTGCCTCAAGGGTATTCATCAGTTAATATTTATACAATTGACCAGAAATTATTGACAGCAAAAATGAAATCAAAACCAAGAAAAGAAAAGTTGAAAAACAAAGTTGAATAAACGGGAAAAGAGTAAAAGAAGAAATCTTTTTTTTCAATCTTTTCCAATTGTAACCATTTAAATCATCAGCAGAAGTTTTGAAAAGCAGAAAAATTGATTGAAATATTGTGTAGTTTACACTGAAATTCATGTTGTTGATGATTCAGTAAAATGGGAAATCCAAAAATCTAAACAAGAATTTGAGAGAAAATTTAAACTTCTTTTATAGCCTGAGAAGGATTGACATCGTCAGTAATGTGGATTTAGTGAAGGGATTGAAAAGTGATATAACCATGAAAGAGAAGAAGAGAGAAAAGTCCAAAATTTTGGAAATGGAAAGATTCAGGTTTCAAGTCCTAAGAGAAACAAGTGATCCACAAAGCAAAGCTATTTTATTGCAAGATTTTTATCTCAAATGTTTCAGAAAATTATCTGACCAATGAAATATTCAAGCTTTCACCT